AAACTTCATAGTTACCCCATCCATATTCACAGAACAAATTCGTCATGGCCTGATTACTGTTTATAAAATACTAACATAAGGATTTTTTTCAAAACATTTATTCTATTAGTCACAGACTAAACCAATATAGCATTCATTAGACACAGATGCCACTAGTTATTAACAATTTCCTGAAGGCATTTTTACCCTTAATATCTGTTACATTCACTGCTCGTGAATTTTAATTATAAGTTAAAAGCAATGCAAATATTATAATCAAAGAAACAACATTTCTACCTATTGCAATACCATATTTAAAATCACTTTGGTTTCAGAAATTTTTAGGTTGCATCATCTAGTCATATTACACCTGCAGATGACTGAAAAAAATCCTAAATACTCTAAATTTGTCATCACATAAAATCACACTGGCAAATATTTCTAAATAATGCCATACATATTTTATGAGGGAAAACTTCCTCTAAGTATCAGTTGCTATAATTCCACTTCGTAAGATCATTAGTTAATGTCATCAACTCAAGAAAAATAAATATATTCAGAAATGTTCTTTGAATATTTATTTTTTGAATGCAAAGTTAATGTTTTGCTAATCCTACAATAATTAAAAGAACATAAAATCAGTGCTATCAGTCTCTTTTGAAACTGATGTGGTCTACATCGTATATATAAAGAAAATTGTATATGTTTCGTGTTTATTGTTAATATTCAACAGTAGTTTAACAAGTCTTTGTTATGTATCTATTATATTAAGCGCACTGTGCTGGCCACATAAACTGCTAACTATTATAATACCTTAATTCACTGGATGTTGTTTCTAATGTCTGGACCTTTCAACATCTGCCCGGAATAGCTCTCATCTTTTGAAACCTGTCGTGAGCATTAGCTGCTCCGCGGAGCTACTCTCCATTTTACAGTCCATTCACAGAAAGGTAGACTTGGTCACCTGCTCTTCTCTACATAGGTAGCATGGCTCACATACTGCCATTATGGGAGCTGTCTTGCGATTGTCTATAAACCTTCCATCTTTCAGTCTCAAAAGGTGAGTGTGTGCAGGCAGATGCCATATTTTGGTCATCTCTGTATACCCCACAGCAGCTAGCCAAGCACCTAACACACACTAAGAACCCAAATGTTCACCGCCCAATAAAATTACATGCTTTGATATACAAAGTATTTTAAGTTTGAGTGCTTCCAAAAACACAATTTGTTTTATTCAATTAATTGGCAAATATTTGTTGAGAATTTAACTTATAGCAGGTAATTTTTGTCTGTCATCTTATTCATTGGCTTGTGTAATCTAGCTTGTTATTCTAGCTTCCATTTTGCAGATGAGCACCTAAACCTTGTTCGCAGGTAACCAGACATTGCTAGTAACTTTCTTCTCTAAAGTCTTATAATTTTTTTTTAAAAAAAGCTCATAATTTACTCACCTGTTTTCCTGCCTTATTAAGTATATTCAGTGTAGTTAATTTTTCAGGACTTGGTCAGTGTTCAGGTTTCTTACCAGGTTATTATCTTCTCCTAAAAATACACAGCCCCGAACCTGAGATGGGAGAAGACTTCTGGGAGCTTCCCTTCAATGACTGTTTTAGGTTATCTGCTGTAAACCAGCTATTCTCCTTATACTCAGTGGTTGCTCTTCCCTTATTGAAATAATATTCAGACTGTCAGAACTTAATTCGGAAAGATCCTGGAAAATTGCCTCAATGTTTCTTTCTAGTAGGCATAGGGGAAAATATAACCTTTGTTGGTTTTATAACCTTAATTTGTTTCCAGTAATTTGCCAGATAAAAACAAGTCTTCAACCCGTGAACCCATCCAGAAGCAGAGGAGACTGTGATTTGAGAATTACCAGAAGAAAGTCCTCCTCCTTCAAAATTACCCACAGTGGGAATGCCTGAAATTCCACCACTAAAGATTCCCTCAAAGAAAGATCGCATTTCCCAAAACTGACTCCTGTTAAGTGAAAACTTTATTACAGATCCTATCTGAATAATTCATAAGAATACTACTTAAATATGTTCAAACCTGAAACTAGATATAATCTTCATTTGCTTATAATTTTATAGAACCATAAAGCTAAAACTTATTTGAAATTTTAACATAAAACTTAAAAATCCATAACATTAAAACAATGTCTATATGACGGCTAATGCTCTGCTGAAAATAAAATTACTTGTCACAATAAGAATATGGAACTGTTTGCTAATGATAATAATCTTCTTGTCTTAGCATGGCTTTATTACCATCTGACTTATATTTTATATGGTATATTCCTATGTGCCATTTGTATACCATCTATGGTATCTAAGACACCATTTGTTGTAAAATATACCATTATTTTATGCACGCTTCTCTTAGCCTATCCCAACCTCAGCCTGCAATGACTACTAATAAAAAACAATGAGGCTATAACATTTGCATTCTTCCAGAAAGATTTTCTCCCCTTCTTCTTACCTACTGCATCTACCACAGAGAATCTCTTTACCATTAATCCAGAAGTAAGAGATGGTCTATACCATCTTCTTCTTGTTATTTTTTCAACAAACTTTCACGGAGTACCCAGACTATGTCAAGCACTGAACTGGGCACAGGAATCTGAAGGTGGCCAAAGCATAGTGTCTGCCTGCAGGAGCTTATGCTCCAATAGAGAAAACAGACCTGGACATGGCTGGACATACACTACCTCACCAATATGGCAACCTGGTACAAAAAAAATTAAATTGTTATTGGTGAAATTCTAATAAGCCATTTCACCCAGAATAAGTAACTCTCCTTCTTCCCTTGTCTTCTTGCTGATTAGAAGCGCTCTTCTGTGGAAGACCACAAATCACAGATTTTAAAATCAGAAGAAAACAAACATTATTTTTTCCCAACCTAATTATTTCCAGGTTAAGGCAAGAGATTTACCTTAGTCCACAGAGTTACTAAAGTGAAAAAGAATGATACAAAATGCATGTCCTTCAGTCCAGAATTCTTTCTAGTTGTCCATTTTCCAAACTTTAAGTCCTCTGATCTAGACAAAATGAAAGTAGTCATTTACAATTTTAATGCCCATGTTAATGCCACTCTATTGTCAAAAATCAGGTTGTTGGAGGCATTTTAAATCATTTTAAAGGTGCTTGAATTATTTAAAAATATCTCTATCCTATTTATTCTGACCTGTGATAAACCTAAAGGGTTAAATTGTCAAAAGAGACTACCCAGAACCACAGATCTTACCTAGTACCAAACTTTGTTAATACAAGCCACCATCAGGAATAAACAAAACATTCATTTTGGGAAAAACCCCAAATCGTCAGACACAGCATCCAAAACAGACCATTTTCTCCTGTAGTCGGCACATTTTTGTTTTGCATTTACAAGTAATTTTTGAGAATTGTCTGCAAAAACTTTCTCACAAAAGGAAGGCAGTTTGGTTTGGGGACATCTTCGTTCCACATTCTCTTACAGAGCTTACATGGCACCTCTCTCTCCATTCTCCAGTCAGCCTGCTAAATTCCAGGCTTATTTACAACAAGCAATCTAGACAGACCAGAAATGTCCTGCTAAAAAAAATTTCATAAATAGGGACTCCCTGGTATCTTTCCACTGATAAATACTATGAGATTTATAAGAAAGTCTGGTGAGGTCATTTTTTCCTCTGCGGGTCTTAGGAAGGGAAAAAATTAGTCACAGGCTGGCTGTTAATACCTTCCCTTCTTTTGGCTCAGCTTCTATGCTTATATCCGAGGTTCAAAATGTAATCAATTATAGGATTACAGGATTATCTGAAAAGTTCCTAAAATGGCCCCATACATATTTGATAATCTATTCAGAAGTATTTCTGAAGCAATAATGGAACAAAAACACCGCCCACCATTTTTTAACAAAAATAAATAGCTTTGTGTTTCCAGGCCATATAAGTCAAATGATGTATTCAATTATGTTATTTATTAAGTAAGTTTATTTTTGATAAAATGGTTAAATCTAAAATTAAAACTTCTAATTTATTTTAAAAATCCATAAGGGAACTACAATTTTGGTAATATGAAATCTAAATTAAAATGCTTTCTTCATAAATACATAAATACTTTCTTCATAAATACGTAAAGGTTTTTTTCTGTATTAACTGTAATAAATGTATCTTAAAATACATAACTAGCATCTCAAGGAAATTTCCAGACTGCAAAAATACAGAGGGCAAGAAGTATTTGATGGGTTGACTTAGGCTGCCCTGGGTGTGGGTATGTGCTTTGTTGCATAAAGGCTTTGGTTTTAATTTGAAACTGCAGAAGATAAGTGCTTTCATTAAAAACAAAACCAAAAACAGAACCCCTTTTAAAAAAAACGTGCATCTTTGGTGCACTAAAAATCTCATCCAACAGCATAGAACATCAACAAAGTTTGTCTGGGCTCTGGGTAGAAGGGAAGAAAAGTTCTCTTTAACAATTCTTAGTCTTGTACCTATATCTCACACAAGTTTGGGGTCAAATTTACACACACACACACACACACAGAGGGAGAGTAGAATAAGCAGATTTTTTGTTTGTTTGTTTAGCCATGTGGAAATCAACCACCAGAAGAACAGAGAAAGAGAACTTAAAAATAGTGACCTAACATTGAAGGACCAGAGAAGGAGATTTTGAGGAGTGAATGATTTGCTTCATATCATAAGCCCTTGTGGATGTTTTTTTTTTAATCATTTCCATATTACTTTGCATAAAGTTAGATAGATAAAGATAGGTAAGTGGGTAATTAGAAGGAAAAAAAAGAAAGAAACCAATGTGTTGTGTGATCACAGTTAAATCATTCAAATCAGCTATGAAGCTGTGTTTAATCCTCTACTTCTAAATTATTCACAAGATCATTTTGACTCTCTAAAGTTCATAAACACAGTGCAAATCACCCAAGCAGAAGTAATTTGTTGCTTTTAAGCCAAAGCCCTGACTAGCTAAGGAGTTGCCTGTAGGAATTAACCAGAACAAAATCCTGATTAAACAACTAATTGGCTTGTCTACTAAAGAAAAAGAAAAGGAAAACAAAGTACATTTCTCTACCTTAAGGCACAGTCATAAATACAGAGGGTTTTCAGAACTACCTCAGAGAAGATGTTTAAATCGCTGACAAAAGTCAACAAGGTAAAGCCTATAGGAGAGAACAATGAGAATGAACAAAGTTCTCATCAGAATGAACAAGACTCTCATCCAAGTAATCAGTCTCAGCAAACCACAGCACAGGTATGTTCTCTACATTCCTATGTGAGCCTTGATTTTCATCATTTCTTATCTAGTAATAGCATTTAATCACTGCTACGACATATGATTGCTTAGTAGTTTTACCTGGCACCATCTGGTAGATGTACTGTGTCGAGCTTATCTTCATTAATTTATATATTCTGTATGTATTTGTTCATAAAAAGAATAATAAATGTTTAGGAGACTATACTAGGATTTGAAAAAGCCAAGTGAGGCTTCTTATTGCTGATTTTCACTTCTACTATCATCCAAAATGAAATCACTTCTCAAATATTAAATTGGTTACTTGATTGAGTTTCAACAAAGAACATCAAGTATCCTGGTCTTCATAAACCACACGTTAACAATAAATTCTCTAGAGCAACAGGAAATCTACTGGCTCTCAGTTGAAAACGATTTTACCACTCAAAGGACATTTGGCAAATCTGGGGACACTTTCAGTTGTCATAGCTCTGGGATGGGGATGTTACTGGCATCTAGTGGGTAAAGTCTGCAGATGCTGCTAAACATCCTATCATGTACAGGACAGCCCTCCACAACTTAGAATTATACACTACACAATTTTAATACTGCCAAGGTGGAGGAACTTGACTTTAAACAAGTCTTTTCACAAGTTCTAAATACATTTATCTGCAAAATGTATATGATAATTTCTGCTTTGTTGTGAGAACTAGAGACAGTAATATATAAAGCACATGGTAGGTACTCTGCAAGTGGTCATTATTAATAAGAATTTGTGTTTCTGTGACAGGTTTAAGTCCAAAGTGATCATTACAAGAACAATATTTGCTTAGAACTATCTAGAGAATAATTTTCATGAATTACTCACTAGAATTATCTAAAAGAGCTACAGAAGATTTTTAGAGCAGTATTTTCCTGTCTGAAAGGGCTGGATGAGAGATGTCAAGTACAAGCAGGAGTGCTCCTCAGGGACTAGGGGAGCATGGTCCAATGGTTCGGGTTTAAATGAGCCCAGAGGATAGACAACACTGAGATTATTTAATATTGGCAGTGGAAAACCCGCCTTCCTTTTCTGATTAATGTTGACTGCTTTGCAGTAGAGAGGAGATGAGGAGGATTGTGTTAGGATTGCTTCGTGAGAGTGCCCTTGACTTCTTTCTAATTCTTATGTCAAAATAAATTCTTATGTCATACTAAAAGTTATTTATATGTTGAAGAACTTGTATAATGTCACAAATATTGAGCTGGTACTTCCCTTCAGCTAGTCTTGCTGTGTTTTGCTCTGGGAAAGTCACTACATTCATCTTTAACCCTTGCCTACTGTGATTATTTTCCAAAGGAACACATAAAAGCAGCTATAGCTAATATATTATTCTCTTCGAGAACATTGTAGCTAACAGCAACTACTATGTGCCAAGCAAGGTGCTAAGCCCTTTTCTAGCGCTGCTGTATTTAATCCTCACAACAGTCACAGGTCCTATTACAATTTGCTCCTTACACATAGCTAGCAAATGGCAGAGCCTGGATTGGAACCAAGTCCTATCTGACTTGAGCACCTGAGAGCTAAATCACTAGGCTATACTGCTTCAAACCAGGAGGGATATTAGTTGAGTCAACCTTTAAGATACTTTGCTTGCATGATAAAGGGATGTTAGAGAGAAGGGGAAAAAAGAACAGAAACTTCTGAAAGAGTTGTCCTTCCTTTCAAAACAGGAATACTGGAGAAGTACTTAGATTAGGCAGAGGTAGAGCACCCATTGGGTATATCCCACACCATTCCAACAGCCATAATTTGTGGATATTAATCATGAAGTCTACTGGCATCACATTAGATTTTTTTTTTTTTTTTTTTTTTGAGACAGAGTCTCATTCTGTTGACCAGGCTGGAGTGCAGTGGTGCGATCTTGACTCACTGCAACCTCTGTGTCCTGGGTTAAAATGATTCTCCTCCCTCAGCCTCCTGAGGCTGGGATTACAGGCGCATACCACCACACCCAGCTCATTTTTTGTATTTTTAGTAGAGATGGGGTTTCACCATGTTGGCCAGGCTGGTCTCAAACTCTTGACATCAGGAATTCTGCCCACCTTGGACTCGCAAAGTGTTGGGATTACATGCGTGAGCCATGGCGCTTGGCCACCTTTTATCTTAAAAGTCATGTCTGGGGAATTATTTGCATCTGTTCTTTCCAAGAACATGTGGGTATGGGAAAAAATAATTTATCTCCGATTTCAAATATGCTAAATGTTAAAAATGACAGAAAGTTAAAATCCTGTTTTCTTTCATGGAATTTGACCTTTCAAAATGGCATTTAAACAATAAACCTCTGAACTATGAATAAATGATTAGAGTCTTCTAAGAAAATATCTAGGAATAAATATATCAATGTATATTTTTTTAAGGAGTCATTTAAAGAGCGAATTTACAAACCAAAATATCATGGGTAATTCCCACCTATCAATAAACAGTAATTCAAGAACTGCAAATCAGTCTAACCCAAACTCTCTCTTACCCCAGAAGAAGACACTGTTCACATAAATCTACATTTGTACACACATAAAGACTATGATGGAAATGTTTATGAATAACATCATAATGATGCAAAAGGACTTGATTAAAGTCAGAAGGCTTTTTCATCATTTATAAATTGTTCTGGACTTATACCTTTCTAGCTAGGTTCATATAAACTGGCCACTCAATCAATTTCATATTCAATAACATAATAATATTTAATAATAGCTGCCTCGCTATTATTACACCATATTAACATATACGGTTATTGTGAGGCTTAAGCGAAAATCAGCCAATTAATTCATTTTTTAGTTTAAAATGCTTCTGTGACATACACGGCTTATAAATAATGTCAAAACTCCATAGCAGGCCCACAAGACTCTCAGTGTCCTTCTGGTCCCTGCCTACTCTCCAGCCTCATCTACTCACCCTTTGTCCCATCCAACTGCTCCCACTGTAGTCTCTCCCCCAACCTATGTACAGTCACGCCTTTGGCTTTTGCTAAACCTGCATCATCTGCCTGGAATATTTTCTAAGACCTCTCCATGTGAAAAACAAAAATCTTATCTTTATAAAGTCAAGAGTCACTATCTTTGGAATAGCTTCCTTTCTTTCCTTTCTACTCCAATAGAATTGACCACTTCCTGTTTATGCCCTATCCTTATCTTCTACAGACATTGATTCGTCACCTGCATTTTCTTGCACTTAACATTTTTGTGTGTTTGTTTCCCCTTCTAGACTGTGCATAGCTTAGGAGTCAATCTTTATGATCTAACCTCATATCTTGTTTCACTCTGCCCCCGTAGGAACATCCTGAGGCACACACTAGCCATGTCCGGTGTGACATGACAGCATTTCAAAGGAAAGCTTAGATGATCAGACAAATGATGAGGTAGAAGCACATGAAATCATGGAGAGAAGAAAGGGAGTTTTGTGTGAATGGGACCAAACTGCCTTCTCTCCACTATTTTAAGTTCTGCCATGAAAGACCTAGACCAATGCTAGGCCTGTGGCAAGTAAAGACCAGAATTGAAGAACTGTGAGCAAGAGAAACACAAAATCCACCCTGAAAAAACCAGAGGGCTCCTGTGACTAACAAGCTGTGGAGGCTGAGGTTGATTATTCAATAGTAGGCCACGAATGCCCATTTTAAATGCATGAATCATTTTTAGTGCATCATAAACAGTCAATTTTAATGATCCAATTAACAATTGAGTGGAAAATGGTGTTACATTTTACATTCTACTTCATTTTCATGTAAATTCATCACATACAATCTCTATGTTTTTTCTCAAAGGAAGAAAACAAAGGTGAAGAGAAATCTCTCAAAACCAACTCGACTCCAGTCATGTCTGAAGAGCCACACACCAACATACAAGGTCAGAATGCAGTCTGCAAAAAAAAAAAAAAAGTGAAATACGTATTTATCTGAAATGTGTTGTTTGTTGAAATATTTGTCCTTGACTAGGTGAATTATCTAGGGTTATCTGCAGTTATTTGAAGATCTGAATATTTATAAAAACTTTATATTCTCATTCAGTAACTCATTTGTCCACGCAATAGATGCATTTTCATTACCTGACATGTGCCAGCCACTGTTCCCTGGGCTGGAGGTGCAGTGATGAGCAACACGAGCAGAGTCTGAGGTTACATAGAGCTTGTAGTCTAAAGAAACACATCACAGATAAGTAAGCACATTGTGAACGATGCAATTTGAGACACTGATAAGCAATATAAAGACATTAAAATGAATGTGGATTGAATACATTTAAAGGTTTAGCATTCACACCTCTGCTCCCTCCTACTAAACTCTCTCCAATAGAAGGCTCATTTACTTCTAAGGCTACCACACTTGTTTCTAAATCCATATCAGGTCAATTTCTTTTTTAAGACTGTCAATATTTTTCATCTCACCACTAGATGTACACGACGGTATTTTCTGCTGCATCACAAAGAAAACATGTCTAAAACTAAATTCCTTATGTTCTCTTGCAAATAGGCTCCCTCTCCTGATTTACTTCTACCCCTGGTGCTACCATTCTTTCAGCCTCCTAAGCTCAAAACCTCACTCAGGTTTTATTCCTTTATCTAGGATGTCCTATAAAGAAAATTAGTCACCAAATCTCCTTTCATAAGGACCCTGAAACCCACTTCCTTTTTTTTTTTTTTTTTTTTTTGAGATGGGGTCTCACTCTGTCACCCAGGCTGGAGTGCAGTGGTGCAATCTCGGCTCACTGCAAGCTCCGCCTCCTGGGTTCAGGCCATTCTCCTGCCTCAGCCTCCAGAGTAGCTGGGACTACAGGTGCATGCCACCATGCCCGGCTAATTTTTTTATTTTTTATTTTTTTTATTTTTAGTAGAGATGGGTTTCACCACGTTAGCCAGGATGGTCTCGATCTCCTGACCTCGTGATCCTCCCACCTTGGCCTCCCAAAGTGCTGGGATTACAGGCGTGAGCCACCGCGCCTGGCCCACTTCCTTTCTTTCCAACCTCAGCAATACCATCTTGGCTGGGGCCCTTATTAGTAGGTCATGTATGCACTACCCCGAGGCTAAGTGGCTACTTTTGTTTAGAACTCTATTTCACCCATCTCTCCCTTGTTACCCAGCCCAAACACTGTTAGCAGATTATTTTCCATTAACCACCACTTTGATCTCAACTTTTGCTCAAGAAGCTTAAGTGTTTGCATATTGCCTGCAAGACAAAATCTAAATTCCTCCACCTGACTTTGTAGAACTTAATGTGATCTATTCCCAGCCCCCCTCTCTAGACCTCTCCTACTTCTCTCCTACTTCCAGCAGGAACACTACCCCCTAACCAAAAAATATAAAAAAAATACAAAATGAAAGGGAAATCGCTAGAACAGAATATAGTTTGTTAAATAATACAAATAAAATTTTTGCCATAAAACTAGCACAAATGTTTTGCCTTTTATCTGTTCAACAAAGTCTGTGTATGATGATTGTTAATGACTTCCTATTTGTACTAAAACAAATATTTGAACTGAAGCACAATTGAGCTTTTACTAGCCCAAATGTCTCATCTTTAAGGAACAAAAATAAGAAATACACAAAAATTACAAGCAAGATTATAAATTTAAAAACAAATCACAAGAAATGTTTCAAATACACAAATCGCTGTCAAGGAATATCCCCACAATCAAAGTACTGAGGCCACTATCCTAAGCAAACTAACACAGGAATAGAAAACTAAATACCTCATGTTTTCACTTTTGGGAGCTAAACATTGAGTACACATGTAAAGATGGGAACAGCAGACACCAGGATCTACTTGAAGGTGGAGGATTGGAGGAGGGTGAGGATGGAAAAACTACCTATACGGTATCATGCTTATTCCCTGGATGATGAAATAATCTGTATACCAAACCCCCATGACCCAAAATTTACCCATGTAATAAACCTGCACATGGGCCAGGCGCGGTGGCTCACGCCTGTAATCCCAGCACTTTGGGAGGCCGAGGTGGGCGGATCAAGAGGTCAGGAGATCGAGACCATCCTGGCTAATGCAGTAAAACCCCGTCTCCACTGAAAATACAAAAATTAGCTGGGTGTGATGGCGGGCACCTGTAGTCCCAGCTCCTCAGGAGGCTGAGGCAGAAGAATGGTGTGAACCCGTGAGGCGGAGCTTGCAGTGAGCCGAGATGGTGCCACTGCTCTCCAGCCTGGGTGACAGAGCGAGACTCCATCTCAAAAAAATAAATAAATAAAATAAATAAATAAAAAATAAACCTGCACATGTACTCCTGAACCTAAAAGGATTTGTTACATTTTCAATTTTTAAATAATACGAAATTCCAGTACCATCTTACTTTAATTTGGAAATGCTACATTAAACCTGTTGTGTAATAAAGAAAAATAAAAAAAAAAGGACTGCTCTAAACAAATGGCCCCACTCCCATATTTACTTGTTTCTATTTAGGAGAGAAGGAAAGAACCTATATGAAGAAAATAACTGAATTTTACAGAGATATGCAGAATAAACTTACATAACTGGAGAGAAATATGTGTCCACTTGGGAGGATATTATAAAGATATTGTTTTTTTTCTTAAATTAATTTATATTTATACTTGTTACAGCCTACTCTCTACCTTATAGGAATAATTTTTTTTTAAAAAGGGGAAGAAAATTCACTTTAGTTTTCTTGACTTTATTTACTTATTTTGAAAAACAACTCTGTGTTTTCACTATGCAGATTAGAATGCAGGGAATACATGTTCTTGCACAGACCAGGTGTTTTTGCCACTATCTTTCTTCTGTACTTTTATCTCCACCACAAAGATAAGAAAACAGTATCTTCCAAATAGAAAATCAGCATTGACTTATCCGAGGAAAGAGGGGGAAACAAATAAATGTTCTACAATACATTTTTCAACATGAAAGCAATATAATCATACTTCCTAGCTGATGACTAAAGCTAGACTGTTCAACTGCTAGATTATCTGATTTAAAATATTTAGGATAATGTGTCATTGAAAGAGGAAATCACTTAATAAGCCTAAAACTCTGTCTGACCCAAACTCACATATATAAAACTTCCACAAAGAGTAAGAATCATAAACCAAGAGGATATTGTAAAAAATGTAATCTTGCCTTTTTTTATCAGTAATTGAAGACGATTATTGAATCTTCAAATTTGTTTAAAAGGAGAAGACTCTTGTAGATTATACAACAATCTTGAAGGCATACTCCAAAATGTGATTAAGAAATGATTAAGTACCAAGGAAGAGAAAAACATTCTGATAATTCAAACTACAATTCTTTTTTTCTGAGTTACTTTGTAATAATAATGGTTTAAATCTACAGTTCTTTGCACAGAAAAATACAACCTTAATTGGCATAAAACCAAGGATTACACCTTTGAAAAGACAAGTTTATTCTTATCTTTGTTGTACTTTTTTCAAAGTGTATTTGTAAGCTTAAATTTTTCATAGCTGGTAATAAAAACTCTTTTGTGGAAGTTTCATTTAACAGAGGAGCTATTTGAGTAGAAGGAAAAAGTGGTTTCATTTAAATCTGCAGACTTAGCACGTCTCCAAAGACTTTAATAGGAATAACAGTTATATTTAAGATATTTTGTCTTGAAAAAGCAAAATTATTAGTGTTTAAAGATAGCCTCTGATATGTGCTTGGTATTTTTGTGTTCACTTCAAAACATGCAGGTGCAATGTCATAAAATCTGCAGATGTTGATTTCTGATTATAGAACTCTTATCTTCTGCAGAGCATGGTTTAATTTATATCTGCCATGGAAATGAAGAATGCAACATATTTTGGATTCAAATAAAGATAACTTGCTAAGGTCATCTTTTGATTATAATCATCTTCCTTAGGCATCTACTTCACTTATATTACATTAAATGCTTCTTTAAATAAATGTCTCGGTCCCAGTAGAGGATATGTAAGTAATTTACCTAGTGGTTTATGGTACTTTTAAGTGATATATTATTTGTGTAGAAATGGGTCAAAGTTGAGTTCCCATTGCTAGTATGGTGTGGTAAGCCGATTAATGGCTATCCAAAGTCGTCTACACCATCATCTCTAAAATCTATGAATTTGTTAGCTTACATTGAAGAAAATTGCTAATGTTACTAAGGATCTTGCAATAGGAAGATTATCCCAGATTATTCAGCTAACCCCAGTGTAATCAAGGGCTCCTTATAAGAGTTGAAGCAGGAGAGTCAAAGGCAGGAGATGGGACAATGAAAGCAGAGGTGGATTGATGCTCTCTGGAGGTAGAGGAAGGGACCAGGACCCAAGGAATGCTATGACCTTTAGAAGCTGGAAAAGACAAGGAAAGGATTGTCTCCTGAAGCTTCCAGGAGGAACACAGCCTTTCAGGCATGTTTTAGACTTCTGACTTTCAGAACCGTAAGACAACTGACTGTGTTGTTTTAAACCATTAACTTTATGGTGATTGATTACAGCAGCAATGGAAAACTATAATACATACTGTTTTAAGATAATTCCAACTTGAAATATAAAATGCAACCATTTTTCTCCTGGCTAACACGGTGAAACCCCGTCTCTATTAAAAATACAAAAAATTAGCCGGGCGTGGTGGCGGGCACCTGTAGTCCCAGCTACTCGGGAGGCTGAGGCAGGAGAATGGCGTGAACCCAGGAGGCAGAGCTTGCAGTGAGCTGAGATTGTGCCACTGCATTTCAGCCTGGGTGACAAAGTGAGGCTCCGTCTCAAAAAAAAAAAAAAAAAAAAAAGCAACCATGTTTAAAATGAAATTGAGTTTTCCTACAATCATGTGAATTCATAGTAAAGGCAGTATACTATACAAAAAAAAAAAAAGAGCATTTGAGAATTTGACATCCCCGAATTCAAATCATAACTCTGCTACTTTCTAGCT